TAGAATAGAATAGAATAGAATAGAATAGAATAGAATAGAATAGAATAGAATAGAATAGAATAGAATAGAATAGAATAGAATATTCAGCCGATGGTTTAACAAAAGATGGTTCTTAGAAGGAGAATCTAGGGATACCTTGAAATTTGGCTGATTGACTGGTGACAATCTTCTTACTGTGATGGTTTTATGTTGTTAATGCAAGTCACTTGGATGCTTTGGAAATAGAACAGCATATAAGTCAAGGTGAATGGAAATAAATGGAATTTTCTTTTTTTTCTTTTTTTTTCTTTTTAATAACAAACAAACACAAACACAAAATAACAAATAAACCTTATTTCAATTGTACAGTGTGTCAGTTGGTACAAATTTCTTGTGCACATTATCAATAGTGTTTCCCTCTTAAATTTAAATTAATATTTTATATTATATAAATATTATATATTATATTATTCAACTTTCCATGTTATATTATATTATCATTACCTTATTGTTAGAGTTTAATTACAGATTCATATTATTCTTTTCGAGCCCACTTCAATTTTTACAAGTTCAAGTTCATATTATAGTTTCTTCTATAATAATTATAACATATCATTACTATTGTATTATATTTATTATCTTATATTAATATATTTCATTTTCCTCTTAACCATTGATAAATCCCATATTTTTATAATATTCTTTTTCTTCTTGCTCTCTAATTGCCAATGTCAATCTACTCATCTCTGCACATTCCATTATTTTCTTTATTGCCTCCTCTTTTATCTGAATTTTTTCATTTTTCCAGTTTTTAGCAAATACAATTCTAGCTGCTGTTAAAACATTAATAAACAAATAGATCAATTCTGTACTGTATCATTCAGGTAAGATACCCAATAAAAATATCTCTGGTTTCAAGTTTATATGCTGTTTTGTCATTTTTTCCAGTCATGTATGAATTTTAGTCCAGTATCTTTTGGCTTCCACACACGTCCATCACATATGGTAATATGATCCAGTTAACTGATGACTTTCCAACACTTCGCCAATTTATCCTTAAACATCCTTGCTATTCTTGCTGGGGGTAAATGCTACCTGTAAAACATCTTATACAAGTTCTCTTTATATGCTGTCAACATTGTTAATTTATAATTTGAAGACCATAATTTCTGCCATTTTTCTAGATCTATTCCATATCCAAAAATTTTCCCTCAAGCAATCATTGTTTCTTTAATTTGTTATTCTTCTAATTTCACTTCAAGTAAATAACCATATAATTTTTTAATCATTCTCTCATCAGTACTTGTTAAAATTCCATCTAATTCAGTAAGTTCATTATAAAACCCCTCTGTTCTATTATCTTTATCAAATCTAGAATATATTTGTAATGACAACCAGACTGGTATTTTCATATAATGTTGTTTCCTTATTTTCTCCCATACTGTCAATAATGCATCTCGAATATAGTGTCTCCTAAAATACCTTGTATTTTATTTTCCTTATACCTTAAGAATGAATGCTATCCCAATAGCAAATCATGACCTTCCAACGTTGACAATCTGATATTCTTCAAACAATCCATTCTTTCATCCACATTAATGTTGCTGCCTGGTAATATAATTCCCAATTGGGTAATCCAAAGCCTCCTCTTGTTCTAGCATCCTGTAGTGATTTTAATTTAATCCTTGCCTTCTTTTCCTGCCATATATATTTCAACATTATTTTATTTAAATCCTCAAAGTATTCTTTCCCTAGTTTAATTGGAATTTTTTGAAACAAATATAATATCCTTGGTAATATATTCATTTTAATTGTAGATATTCTCCCTATTAGAAATAATTGTAAATTTTCCCGTTTTTTCCAAGTCTGTTATAATCTGTTGTTTTAGTTTATAATAATTATCTTCTTTTAGTGTTCCACATCTTGCTGTTAAATGTATTCCTAAATATTTAACTATTTGTAATCTGGATAATCAGTCTCTCTGTTAATTCTTTCCTCTGCTTTTCCGTCATGTTCTTAACTATAATCTTGGTTTTATCTTTATTTATTTTCAATCTTGCCACCTGCCCATATTCTTCAATTTTTTTCTATCAATTTAGACACTATTTCCAGTGGTTCCTCCAATATGAAAACCATGTCATCCACAAACGCTTGCAATTTATATTCCTTTTTTATTTTCATTCCCTTTATTTCACTATTGTCTCTAATATTTCTGTTTAACACCTCCAAAGTCAATACAAACAACAGTGGCAACAGAGGACATCCTTGTCTAGTTCCTTTTTTAATGTTGATATTATCTGTTAAATCTCCATTTATCATTATTTTAGCAAATTGTTTATGGTATATTGCCTCTATTTGCTTTAATAAATCTTTCTCCAAAACCCATTTGTTCTGTAAATAAATGGAATTTTCATTTAAGCCCTGGACAAAGGATTTGGGAAAATGAAATACTAGCAACAGAACTTGCTAGAGTAATGCTATCCATTCAAAGCCTCCTTTATGTCATTATTTCCTATAACGATTATCAGAAACTCCTCACTATGCTGTTATGAAGAAACCAATATACAGTAATTACATTATTTGTGATTCCTCATTATACATATATATGAAAATAGTTAATATTACTTTAATTAATAGTACTATAAATTATTATAACAAACACAACTCCTTAATGGTTCCATCAACCCTTGGGACGGGGGTCAATATTGACAACTTTGAAGAACCTTGATCTAGACAGGCAACTATAGCTAGGTCTACTTTAAAAAATATCCCCCACCCCCACCCCACCCCAGTTTTCAAGTCACAGAGAGTTTTACACAGTAATATCACTGGGAAGTTTTAGAAGACTGCAAGCAACCTGAGATGACATAGAGGTTGCCCAGCCCTAGTGTGAAAGCTAGTAAGCTTCCCTTCCCTTTTGCTCTCCTTATGATGTTATGTGTGATGTCATTCATAGTTAGAACAGGTTGCCAAGCATCTCTTCAGATATCAGATTGGAGTACTAAATTGTTTGGATAAGAGACGTTTTGGGAATCTATACTGAACTGAAGATAGCTCAACAAGCTATAAACCAAAAGCCATCTGTGGTAATATATTCATTTTTATTTTTATATTCTTTTTTCTGTTCTCCATGGCACAGTATAATAATAATTGTCTCCATAGTTAATGCGATTCTGGCAATACTCAGGGAAAAGGAAAGCTCACATCCTCCTCCAATTTGGTAAACCTTCTCCAACTTGGTGTCCTTCTCTTGTGTTGGAACTACAAGACTGGATTTGGGAGATGTAGGTTAAAAGATCAAAATACAATATTTTGATGGGTTTTTGAGAAGCATGATGATTTATGGAGGCAAAATAACAGAAAATAGATATTATAATGTAAACAACCTAGCTGGGATCTGCAAACATATCCATGTGTCTGCTTATTTGGTTAACTGTGAAGGTTCCTGATTTTTATCCTCACTCCACTAAAGAGATAATTTTTGCAATTTATCTTGAAACTGTTATACTCTTGGTAGTAATCTCAGAAGTAAGGCATAGCTTCATTTCCAATGCCTGACATACATCCATGTTACATCCTTTTGCTAAGAAAGAGTCATAAAAGGGAAAGAGAGACATTCCATTCTACCACTGATGAAACAATAAAGAAAGGATGTGAAGGAATGAATGAAAAAGGGAACAAAGGATTTAAACATTTTCTCTGTACTGGAGAAGAGGATATAAGGTATTTTCAGACCATAATATGAATGTTATATTTGTGCTTCTGAGCAACAACAGAAAATTTTTCAGTACAGTAATATCACAAACGCATCCACATACCAATCCTGGCTTATCTGTACACTTTGAACTTTGTCTGTGAGGTCCTGATCCAGAGGTAATATTCAGCAGGTTCTGACCAGTTCTGGAGAACCCATAGTGGAAATCTTGAGTAGTTTGGAAAACCGGAAAATAGCACCTCTGACTAGCCCTGCCCCCATCTATTCTCTGCCTCCCGAGTCCCAGCTGATCAGCTGGGTCTTCTTTTGTTGCCCTGCACAGGAGAACGGAGCTGGAAAGCAGGTTAGTGGGTTGGGGAGGGAATGGGATTTTGCAGTAACCTTCCTTCAAGAGTGGGGAGGTAATGGGGATTTTACAGTATCCTTCCCCTGCCACACCCACCAAGCCATGCCCCATCAAGCCACGCCACACCCATCAAGCCATGCTCACAGATCCGGTAGTAAAATTTTTTGAATCTCACCACTGTCCTGATCTCACTTAGATAAACTGCAGAGGCTGACTTCATGCATTTGCTTTCTTTAACAAGATGCTCAATTAACTCATAAAAAATTAATAGTTTCATTAGCATAACAATACATTTGATTTTGACTTTCATTATTGTTTGTTTTGCAGAAAATGGGCTATGCAAAGCCAGCCTGCTTGATTAGTTTAGGATTCAGCATGAAGGGGAAACTTAGCAAACATATTCATTTTAAAATTAAATTAAGTACATGATTAGTCATTCTTTCAATGGGAAAGATGTTCGTTGACCCTCTTCCAGACTTAAGTGTCTGGCACATAAACATTCTCTGATCCAGATTATTGAACAGTGGAAAATTGTAAGAATATTTTTAAAAAGGTCTGCTGGAGCAAGTTCAATATTCTACACACTGATTGAGAGATGATATTCTCTTCCACTGAATTTCTTAACAAATAGTATTTATAGTGTGCTGTCTGTGATTCCAGAAGAGAAGCCAGAATCTCTAGTATTCAACTCTAAAAAAAAAAACACCACTGCTCTGAAAAAAATGCAAAATGAGATTATATAGACTTTCAGGAAAAGCTGCCAGTTTAAGCAAAAAGCAACCAAAGGAATACATTTATATAAGTGGACAAATGAAAAAAACAAAATGTTAAACAGTTATATTTATACTTATCAAACACATCTAAATTATAGTAAAGTAACCAAAATAATGATCCCCAATGCATTTTACAACTTTTGAGCACACCTAATGTTTGGAAATTGAAAGTTGAAAATTTTGACACACTCTAAAAGGGGGAAGTAAAGGTATAGTTTCCTACAAGTTGACCTCAGCTTTTGAAGACTTCATAGACTTTGTTTACAAAGGTATAGAAATAGTCCTGAGATTTCCTGGTAGACTTCCATCCAGGTTGTTTCCAGGGCTAACCCTGCTTGATTTTTCAACATCAGCCAAAATCAAGTGTAAAACAGATTCTTATAATACAAGGATAAATCTTAGTAGGAATAATTGCTTGAAAAATGACTCCAGGGAATCTGGATCCAACTCCAAAACTTTGCAAGCCAACAAGGAGCAAGGGAGATAGATCCCTCAGCTAGAATTCTAACCATTTACCTATGTAATAATTCCCCCAAAAAGTGTGCTTAGGCAGAAATCATCAGTTAAAATTCAGCATCATATTTTGGTGGTGATTCAGCATCCTAGCAGCGGCATAATATTTTCATCATAATTTTATCTTGATTTATGTTAATAGTAACTGGTGAGAAAATAATCAAATATTTTTCAAGCAGATAACTCATTGGCTCCATCCACAGGTTTGCAGTATTTTTAAAGCTACAGAGAGATTAATAGCACTATTTGAAGCCAGCTCTTAATGTCATTTTCTTTTTAGAGAGCTGAAGCTAAAGAAACCAAGAAAATGTATGTGAGGCACTTGAATCTTTTTACTGATTCAACACGGGAGAGAGACCAATGAACTCATATCATCTTCTGATTGATTCTTTCAAAACTTATTTTTCTAAACTTACTTTCAATGGATTCATTTTGCTGTTGAAGAGAATGAAGATGGGAACATTTGAAGACTGGCAAATGAATGCACCAAAACATTAATATATTTTGAGTAATGGTACGCTTGGTGAAATAGAAAATCCATTATAAAGCCAGTCTTTTATTAATCTAACTCAAAGATCACCTGAAAAGATACGGGCTTTGAAACCAAAAATGAAATGTACAACTTAATATCTCTCTATGTTAAGCAACTTACAATAACTAAGTTGGAAGAGTGGAGAAGTACTTCATGTATGCTTGGGGTAAAAGCTTTGAAGCTTTTTTGGCTACATTTCAGTTCTCCATTCTCCATCTTTGATTTTAGAATTAATCGAGCAGTCCATTTATATTTAGGGTGTATCAAGTGATCCATCCCTCTCCAGTAATAGAATGATAAGGGTCGGTCATCCCTCAGATGTTGCTATGGAGACTAACTGCCGCCTGGAATCTTCAAAGAAAAATGACTTTGGAGTGAAGATGTCCCTTCCAAATGATCCCTTACAAGAGCTATGAAGACTTTTCCCGTTGTTCTTCAGCAACCCGCCACCGCCGCCCTTTACGAAACAGCAACTCGCAACCATGTTTTGTCTCTTGCACATTCTTCACTCCAATTTGTTTGCCGCTTTCACATGATGAACCTAAATTAAGATTCAAGGTGAGTTGAAAGGGAAGGAAGGAAGGAAGGAAGGAAGGAAGGAAGGAAGGAAGGAAGGA